GAGTTCTTCTTTGCCCATCAGTCTTGCACAGCTGTCTTGCTCCTTCAGGCTCAGATCAGCGATGTCCACGTGCTGCAACGGGTCAGCCGTGCAGTTGACCACAGGCTCTTGCTCTTCCTCATCTTCAACTGAAGGAGCTAAGGTAGGAGGAGAAGATTTGTCACCTAATTCCCTAAAAAGGAAGAAAAAAAGCATAAAATAGCTTTCTGTATACTGCTTCTAAACCCATGGGACAATGAATAAATGTCCTCTGATAAAAGACGTGAGCAGTTTCACGAATCTTCTGCATTCTCAAAACTATAAAACTTATTTTGTTTCACCTTCCTCCGAAATCTGTATGTTCCCCCATGAATCTAAGTTAAAACTGGGCAAACTGGTTAAACTGAAACATAGAACAACTCATTTATTTGGTTAAGACTGGCAAAGTTGCCCCTTTTTTAGCAAAATTATTTCAGAGTGTGCAGTTTTAATAGAACAGGCAGATAGTCTGAAATCAAAGCACCAGGGATGTGTCGCCTTCGTATCTGTAATGATTATATTCAAGTCGAAGGAACTAAATCAAGCAAATTATCCAGGTGCACCTGGATATACACCTACCAGAGATGATCCATGTAGGTATGCAGTATGGCAAACCCCTTCCCTTTCATTCCAGCAGCAAGCATCTCCGTGCTGGACATATTGGCAACTCCAACTGCTACTGGAGCTCTGGGGAAAGAAGAGAGCATCATAGCAGGACACTGCAAATACCCTGTGCTTCTTGGACAAGCACTGGCTGTGCTTCTGTCACATACAGCCACGATAAAAGCTATTTTTACAGAGAAACTTAACTGAATTCTTTTTCTGCAGAATTTTCCACCCTGTTTAAGTCTACTCTGCATTAAATGCAAGTGAACAGGCTTGCCTTTATTTCCTCAAAATCCCCAGGGTCGTCCTTTAAAAAGCACTTTCATTATCAGCTTCTGGGAAAAGCCCCTGAATAAGGAGCCCCGTGTACCTGTTTCCCAAGAGGGTGACGGCGCAGAGCGTGCCCCGCTCGACCTGGGGGAAGCCAGAAGATGGCACTGCGACTCCGGGCAGCATCAGATCTGGGAGAGAACACGGCAGCGAGCACTTAGCATTCAGCTTCAACGAGCAGGAGGAAAGCAGCTACCAAAGAAAGATTCGGCCACCCTCCCTTGGCAAGAACACAAGCCTTTCAATAGCTCAGCATGCCCAGGTTCCTGCCTGGAAGGTGGGAGTTCTTGTACCCAAGCTGTGGAGCAAGGGGGCTGATGCAGGAGGGTGCTGAGACGTCCCCAAGGACAGCAGCAGAGCTCAACGCTCCGTCCTCACCTGGCAGGCCCGGAGGCAGGAAGAAAGAGCCTTAACTATCTCCTTGCTAAGCTGCACAGAAACAGAAAGACTCCTTGTGTGCTTCCTTCTGCCTTCCAGAGCTGGGATGAATGGATGGCCACGTGAGTAAAGGAGTTTTCTATGCCTGATGTAGAGCATCACATTATCGCTGAGTTATGTTAAGAGAGTCTGACCTCCCTCAGAGCAGCTACAACTGGCTGCAGTTTGCAGCCTCGTGGACAGACCTGTGCTCTGTGCTTTGGTTTTGAGGGTATCTCACTTTTTTTTCTCAGTTATCATGGATTTTAATGTGCATACTGAAACAGGCAACAAGATTTTTCCCTTCTACCTGCTATGACAACTGCTTCCAGCAAATCTAGAAAGCAGGCTGCAATCGCAACCAGGGTCCCCACCTCTAGGGACAGAAACCACCTAAAGACCTCAACATATCAGGGTAAGCACGTAAATAACCAGGGAAGGCAGGAGCTACTTGCATTAACAGAACAGACAGCTGAGAGCAGCAGTGCCTTGTGATTCCTCCTCTTAAGGCAGTGCTCCCCTAATTCCCTTCACTTTCCCTGCGCTGCAGGGCTGGAAACTCTGCTGCTTTTTCCTGCTCCTCTCGGCCTCTCCTGGCCATTGTGTGGTAGGGAGCTCCTTATCTCTGCATCTTCGCAGAGGTAGCCTGGTTGCCAAGGGAGATGAATGACCAGCAGCCCTTTCATCAACCTCCTTCCCCCTTTAGTACTTTCCTTTTTTATTTTCCCCCAGAAAACAGGTCAGTACAAGTCAGCAGCAGGGCTTGCTCAGATGTTTACCGCATCTACGCACTCACCCGCTTTATTTTGCTAGGAGCAAACAAAGTGAACAGAGGGACTTGAGCACTTACACTCTAGATATTGTGTCATGGAAAGAAGGACATCTCTTTCTACACGTACGCTTCCATTTACGGACGAAGGCCACAGTGGCTGAAATTTAATCTGCTGCTGGTTGAGCAGTTCTGCAATTTCAGTTGATAAAAGCCTGACTATCATGAGTCTGAACTGCATCCAAAGCAGCCTCCAGAAAATGGACTTTCCTATTAGTGTTGGCCCATAACTAAATTGTAGAGCTAGTAATCCAGGAATTCAAATCCAACCTCAACTGCACAATCCACAATTTACTCATTATCCATGGAATAAACCAGCTCACCTCTGAATTGACAGAGAAGCAAGGTAGCAGCAGATGAACTCAGCTGCCCAAGATGAGTTATAATAAACCCAAACCAGCAACACAGATAGTTCATTGTCCCAGTTCAGAGTTGTTACTCAAATTCACACCCTGGGATGATATTTCAAATCTGAGTCTCTCAGAACAGAGGAATTCATTTAAAAACCTTGACCTACTTTGTTTCATTCACAAACTTACCTACTGCTAATTTATATTCCCTTTGGGAGATCAACAAGAAATACTTTGTGAAAAATGAACCTTTCTTGTTATTTGTTTCAAGTACATTTTTGACTCTGGGACAGAGAGCATCACAAAAGCTGTGTTGTGGAATACCAATTTCCAAAGACGACTGCTTTTTACCGTGCAACATAACAAAGTTTTAGTTCTCCTACCTGCTCCTCCTGCAAGTTTCTGTAGCACTGGGGGCCATGTTGAAAAAGCAGGAAGAAGATCCGGATAGGCCCACAGAGTGTACACTGTCCCAAAACAGAAGCAAATTTAAAGATGCATCACCAAAAACTTCTCTAGCTGTTGCCTCTTGTCATTTCTAAGACTAAGCAGTGTAGTACTAACCACAGTTAAATACTCTTCTGCCACTCAGGTATTCAAGAAATCTGAAGTCAGAACAATTCTAAAATAACTAGTATATGCGTAGAAGAAAAACTGCCAATGAATTCAAGCTTCCATGGATTATTGTAAATGATATATTACAGATATTTTGTATTATTTTCCTTAAATCAGGGACACTTTGAGCTAGGGGAAGAATTGCTGGGTGTGTTGGGGGAAGGAATAGGGGGAAGAGCAGAGTACCAGAACAATTTGTTGCCTAATTCCAAGGATGCCTAGAAGTGAACATCACACTTCTAGGAATTACAGCTTGCAGTTACTGGACAAAAAGAGAAAAGGGGCTAGGACACCACTAATCTATGACTCACAAGACTCGTTTCCCAGACATTCTTGGACCCTGTCACCTCTCAGCATCTCAATTTCCTTCTAGCACAAAGAATCCAGAAGTCCTGCTGGATTTACACAGATGTTGGGAGCATAAATACATTACTGTGAAGATGCTATGGTGAGGGGACACATACAAGCACTTAGAACACAAGCACAATTGGGGGGAAAGGGTTGGAGTCCAAAAGGTAAAGAGGGAGGGAGAATTCCTTTAATCCACTTCCCGTACCTGTTGGATACAGAGCTTTTTCAATTTCAAACAGAACTGGGTTCTTGTTGTTTGCATAAACAGTAACGGCCTCGCCTTTGTGAGTGTGTATTTTGATGACATTAAGTTCCTCTTTGTTTGGAATAAACTCTGTCAGTTGTTCAGTACTGAGGTTAGGAAAAGCCGCTGCAACATCGGTCCGGAGTTTTCTCCTGCGAAGATAAATCACGGCTGTGTTACAAAACCATACAGACCACCTCCTCAATAATCACCAGCTTCTGCTTTTTGGTTATTCACGAGATTCCCATTTCCATTGTATTTTTTCCCCCAGAGAAGCTAATTTGAAGCGTTTGTGTCTGGGTTTGCACATGAAAGAGTCGCGCGCTGGGATAGTGTGGGGAGAAACAGGCTTGTCCTGCTCTCCCTCCCGAAGCGCCTGCTCGTGGCGGCTGTCGCTGGTTTGTCACTAACTTCAAAAACTGCCCCAAAACTCGAGCACAAACCGGGCAGCCCCAGACCTTGCCCTTGACGTCAAAAGTCACTTAAAAAACAGCTCAATTATGGTCGCACCTCCAAGCCAAAAAGAAAAAAGGGAGAGAAACTGTTTTAGGCTTAGAAGAGTGACGCTGTTTTGGCACAAAGAAGGGGAGAAGCTGCCCCGCTCCAAGGCTCCTGTGCTCCTCGCTGCGTGGCCCCGTCTCGCTGTGGGAATCGGGCGGTTTTGGGGCTGTTTCTGGTGATTTTTGCACCGGGAT